GCGATACTTCTGCTTCCCTGGTAAGTCCCCTGTTTTTTCCCTGTCTCTGTGGGTAGTTAGCTCCAGGGGGCTAATGGGGCTTCCTCCAGAAAACCAGCACTGAATGTAATTAAATGCCAGTTTCTGGGTGAGCCCTTGGAAGCTCCCTGACACCATCCCTTAAGTTGGCGACTTTTCATAATTCCAGAACTAATCGTTGTCGTTCCGGCTGACCTGGGCCAGCTCCCCACTTTCCCCAATGAGGGAGGAGGTGAAGCTAATTAGCAGGGTCTGGTTTGCTATTTGTTTTCTGGTTGGGAGAGTTTTTTCACATTTTAAGGGTGCTGGTTTCGTTCTTCAGTCATGTAGTAATCTGTTTTGATTTGCCTGCCATTCTTAGTGCTACCCTGGTTGATGGCAAGATGATAAACTTCAAATGCAAGGTGTTCAGGGGCCATTTGCTCCCTGCGCGTTCCTGAGGGAGCCAGGTTCTGACTTGTGGTCCCAAGTAGATAACAAAAACTGCTACTGATGACACTCAAGTAGTATGTCACTTGATCAGTAATATAGTTTCAGGGAGCCTCTTGGGCTCACCCAGAAACTGGCATGTAATTACATTCAATGTTGGCTTTTTGCCCAGACATTCAAGCTCTAGGATTTTGGCAGTCCAACTGTGCTGGCAGCTTGGTACTTAGTCAACATACCCAGTCCATGCTGGATATTGTGGGGCTTTAGGGCAGTATGAAGATTACTTTCTGCAGCTTTTCAATGCCCCTGATGAGTACCCCTTTTGTTTTTTCTCTGTAGTGACATGGTACTAAGGAGCCACCAATAGGAGTCTTCCCAGAGAGGCAGTGTTGATTGTAATAAAATGCTTCTTTCTGGTAGGACCTTTCTACCAACCCTCTTGAAGGGCTTATTTTCGTTTTCATCTTCCTGACTAATGGATGTAGGAAGAAGGGTCACATTCCTTCTGTGGTGTGCAGGTGGAACGTACAAGAGAACTGCTTCTCATCTGGATGATTGCTCATTTTGGGTCTTTGATTTCTAAATTTCTATGCTTAGTTTATCTTGCTGTTTGTATGTTTTGGTTCTCCCACCTTCTGGTGAATTTTTCTTGATTAGGGTAATCTTATATCTCCTGTTCCTTGCACTTGTTTAAAGGGGCAAGGTTTTAGCCTCTGGTCCCTGGTAAGTTTATATAATGATTCACAAGGGCCTGGGATGGATTGAAGCCATCAAGAACTCACCAGAAAGATAAATGTATTTGTTCGCTTCTGATTTTTTAATGTTATATGTTGTTGTGAGTGACCTGGAGGTGGTGTAGCCTGGAGCTTCAATGACCTGTAGCTTGAGTGACCTGGAGGTGGATTGATCTGGAGCTTTGAATGACCTGGGGTTTGAAGATCATAGAGGTGGAATGACCTATAGGTGCAGCAATCTGGAGCACAAATTATCTGGAGGTGGAGTGACCTGTAGCAAGAGTGGCCTAGAGATGGAGTGATGTAGAGATGGAATAACCTGTAGATTGAGTGACCTGGAGGTGAAGTGTTTTGAAAGTGGAACAATCTGGAGTATGAATTAACTGATGGTGGAGTGACAAAGATGGAATGACCTGAATTAGAAACTAGTTTTATGTTATGTAATCTTCATGGTTGGTATTACCTTCGGTACATTGTGCGGACCCTACAGTGCCCTCATTCCCACTTGTGCTACATCTTGACTCTTGCTCCAGGTGACATATGCCTTCTCGCTCTCCATTGCAGTCTTTTACAGCATGGATTACCCGTCTGTTGACTTCTCTGTCTGCACACGTTAACATCCAGAATGATATCTGGAAATTTCTGATTACATGATCCAGGCCCGATGGTAATAAGTAGTTTTCCAGGCATGGCACTTTCTTTTTTGACAATTCTTTATTTACGGTAAAAGATGACACAATCAATTGTGAAACTAATTTAAAGCAAACTAGGAGAGTTCAAAGTCACTCATACTGTTTAGGCTTAGCTAATAAGAATCAATCCTATAATATTTCTCTCCTAAGATTTGTGATGGTGAGAAGTGGCTGTAATAGATACTGATAATTTTGATACTGTATCTAGGTACAACAATAATGTGATGTAAACCAATTTGGAGACATCAACAATCGTGTCTATGAAACAAAGTCAGTCAGTTTTGAATATTTTATTGTTATTACTATACTATAATTTACTATTTACAGATCTACAATAATATTACTATAATTTTTGCCAAGTTGGCTGTCAAAGATTAAAGTAAGTGCTTTAAAGCTTATTACAGTAATACTTTCAAATGCACACAGTAATAAATCCACTCTAGCTCAAAATTAAAACCTAAGCTAATGTAACAACTTCATACAGTAAACACTATTGACTCCAGTGGCATGTGGAGTAGGAAACTTTATTACATATAAGTTGCTAAAACACTCAATGAATTATGTGCTTAATAAAAATAAAATTTTATACCTGATTAAATGAAATAGCTTCAGTATTATTACTCTTATACAGGGACAATAAAAAATAACAATTTGAGAGATTAATTAAATGGCAAATTATGAGCCAGGTGAAGAAGCAGTGCTTGTATTGACACGCACAGTCCAGCACTAGGCGGCCGTGTGTACGCTCTGTCTGGTTACATCTAATATCACAGATAAAGAACAAGACTGGAACATATAGAAATTATTAACAATTACATCAGAACTAAAATATGAATAGGTAGACTTCTCATTTATTACTTACTGTATTTAGATTCAGCAAATACTACAATTTCTTGCAGTGCAATTTAAAAAATACAGTGCTATGGTTACAAGGAAGCAGTCTAGCAGTTAACTTTTTCATGCTTACTTTTAAGATTTATGTCCCAGACCCTTCATTAAATAAGTAATAGAATTTACAGATAATAATTTTTTCAGTTAATAGTACAAGTTAATGTTATTTGGTAACGTGTGCGAGTGTATAGGAAATCTAAAACTACTTGAACAATCCAAAACAAACGAGAAATTCTTGCAAGATATATGGAGTCTTTTGTCTCAACTACATTTATTGTAGGACAGTCAACTAAAACTAATGTTTTTTCTATAATATACATCACACATTGTGAAAGTTATAAGTCAACTATAATAAGAGTTGTTAATGTACACACCATACACTGGGAAATGCCTTGTGGATAGCAACAGGTGGTTGAGGATAGCAACAAGTAGTTAATGATAGTAATAGGTAATTGATGATAGCAATAGGTAGTTGAAGATAGTCACAGGTAGCTGAGGATAGCAGCAGGTAGTTGACAATAGCAACAGCTAGTTATGGATACTAACAGGTAGTTGATGATAGCAACAGGTAGTTCAGGATAACATTATTTAGTTGAGGATAACGATAGGTAGCTCAGGATAAGAACAGGTACTAGAGGACAGCACTAGGTACAGTAGTTGACAATAGCAACAGGTAATTGACAACAGCACCAGATACTTGAGAATAACATGATGTCGTTGGGCAAGCATCACCAATGACTAGGTTGTCGGAGATACATTGGTCAGAGTTACAGGGGTGTTCATTGGTGATTGCCTCAATGGATCACTGCTACTGGCACTACATCATGACTGGATCTGTTGTGTGACTGTGGGGTGGGGTGTAGTAAGTGGTTCCGTTGAGTGACCATGGTGGTGTAGTGACTGGTTCTGTTGAGTGACCATTGTGGTGTAGTGACTGGTTCTGTTGAGTGACCATGGTGGAGTCACATGTAGGTGACTTGTTCTGTTTAATAACTATGGTGGTGAAGTGGCTAGTTGTGTTGAATAACTATGGGGGCTGTAAACTGGGAAAACTGTGTAATGACTGGCAGCAGGCTGTGCCGTCACAGCTCAGGGGGTGAGGGAGGTCTTTATATATTGACCTTCCTCAGGGGTGAGGGAGGTCTTTATATATTGACCTTCCTCAGGGGTGAGGGAGGTCTTTATATATTGACCTTCCTCAGGGGGTGAGGGAGGTCTTTATATATTGACCTTCCTCAGGGGTGAGGGAGGTCTTTATATATTGACCTTCCTCAGGGGTGAGGGAGGTCTTTATATATTGACCTTCCTCAGGGGTGAGGGAGGTCTTTATATATTGACCTTCCTCAGGGGTGAGGGACTGAGGGAGGTCAACATGTATGTCTTTCCTCCACTACAGAGTGCACATATATCTAGGTGATAGATGTTGAGTCCTCCACAAGGTGTATATATATGTGTAATTGACAGGTGTCAACCACCACCACCACATGGTGCACATATGTTCAGGAGACAGGTGTAGGTGCACACACACATGTAGGTGATGGGGTGTCGACCACCCTCCCCACCAGAAGGTACACATACATGTAGGTGACAGGTGTCACCCACCCTCACAAATTGCACACAAGTTTAGGTGACAGAATGGAACATCTAGCCACTATAAGAAGAAGAGCGCCCTAGCGAGAGAGAGAATTGCTGAGGTGGGGTTTCCAAGCCACTCTGAAGGTCAGGCTGGGTAGTGCATGATTATGTGAAGGGCTCGAGTTAAAACCTCTCTACAAGTCGCTACTTTACATGAACTGTTGCTAATGTACGGCATGCAAGTTTGTACAAACACCAATGTACAGTTATATGAACCTGGTTAGGGTGATGGCTTAACCTCGAGAATTATATCCTCTTGTTACTTGACTAGGGTGTGAACGTTATTTTCAGACGTCACATTAGAGCAGCACATCCATACACGTGCTCGACTAGGGTGATAACTAAGGCACTGTCGGAGATATCTCGCCCCATTGAAAGGCTAAGACACACAAGCTGTGCCTGGGTTAGGGTGTTTCTGTATCTTATAAAACACTCCATAAGAAACATGACTTTAGTGACTTTAGTGAAGTGAAGTTATAAAGACAATAAAAAGTATCTTCTGAATTCTACACTTACATGGTTATAGACTAGCAAGAAAGTTCTTACCTCTAATATTAACCTTGTCAGTCCATTCTCCCAATGTAACAAGCATCCAATTTTGATGGTTGACCTTAAAATATGTACATGAACTAGCACTCGTCCTGTAACCTCTTGACAATGCTTGGCTTTCGGTCCTGATTGATATATAATAGTTCATTGTGTCGTGTGTGTACAGGCAGTGTATATTTTAGGCTTATTTTGAGGTCTCTCCCAAAGTTGAATTACTGATCCTCTCTAGGATGCAACCCACAACAAGCTGACTAACTCCTGGGTACTTATTTACTGATATGTAAACATTAGGCGATAGGAAATGCGCCCAACCATTTCTGTCCCCACCCAGGATCCAAACCCAGAATTCCCGATTGTGAATTGAGAACGAAGCCGCCTGTATATGGACCATATATGTATAATTTCCATGTTGTTTTTCTTTGCATGCAAATCTCTACCCATGTAGTGTGAGAACTTGTATATAGCAGCTTGGATTTAGGATACAGAAGAACAGTAGCTGGAAAATGTTATGCAGGTGTTTGCAGTATGCACGAGATATTCCAAAGTAATCTACACGATATTTTACTGCAGTGGAGCTCCAGCTGTTTGGCAATAATTTAGATGAAGTCATGGCTGGAAGGGTCTCATAAAAGAAGGTAGTCCAGCCTTTAACTAGACCAGAGAGTAGGCGTAGTAGGGGTCGAGCTCAGTGTCACAGATGTCGTACCATTTATGATGGACGTAGGAAGGTCCCACAACATTGTTGTTGCGCAGTTGGTCATGGGGATTGAAGGTCACCAGCTCCCAGTAGAGGCGGTCCTGCTGACACACGAATCATGGTAAGGTAAGGTAATTATCAAGAGACCCAATTAAGCCAGTATCATTATGAAGTACTGTACTGTACTTGCAAGGTAAATGATAAAAGAATGAGAGCTGATAATGACAGCAAGATAAGAGTTGGGATTTTCTGCGTATGGAAGAAAACACGCACATAGAGTGGGGGACTTGTTTATTTTAATAATAATAAATAATTATAATGTATTATATATATATAAGAATAGATTCATTCAATTACAAATAATATTTACATTTATAATTAGTAATTTAATGTTCCTTTATTTAAATTTACCCTAATTACAATCATTGGTATATAATTCTTAGCTATCTTCATGTACCTAGGCGTATCACTTTGGGGGATCCGCCCCCTCCCCATCCGGCCCATTGGCCCCGTGAGGGGGCTTGGTGGTCGGCTGCCGGAGTGTGATGCTCCATGGGACAGTCCTCTGTCCTTTTGTGGCCTTATGCTCCTGCTGCTGTCTTCTCCAATTGTGCCAGATCGCTTTTCCTTTTCCTTATGTTTCGTTTTTCTCCCCCTCTTCTCCTATCTGCTTGTCGTTTCCTGCCGACCTTTTGCTTGTTTTGGTTATTCTTTTGGTCTTCTTCTATTTTTACGCCCGGGTGCTTGAGGAGGCATATCCTTGCACCCGTAGAACTGTAGTACCCAACGTCGAGAGCGAGGGGAACCTTTTATTGCCAATCCCCCTTTCATCACTGAGTCCGATCTCGATGGACTGATGGTTCTTAAGGTGGAGTTTGTGGGGCGTATACTCACGACGCACCCCTAGCGGGCCCCGACATGATCGGCGATAGCTTCTTGTTGGGTGTCCTGCCTCTATGTGGCTCCATGGTGGGTATGGGGGCACATTCGTTAATGAATGTTTTTCTTTTCGTACCAAGTCACATTCTGTTCCTCTTTTACCTTCTCAGGCTCGTGGGGTGGGTGACCAAGCCCCCGAGTCGGACCATATTAGAAGACCAGGCTCTGTAGCCCCGGCTGCTTTGGGCCCCGACCTTGCTCCTCCTTTGACCTCTCTGACTCCTCCCCTCGGCTCCCCTCCCTCCTCTGTGCTTGGGTCGAGCCCCAAACCCCCAGTGGTTACCACCTCGTCCCCTGGCATGGCTGAGTCTCTAGTTGTGACTACTGTGCCTTTTAACCCCTCTCTCTCTCTGGGGGTTCTTAACGCCATCCTCGACACGACCGCACTCACTCGATTCCTTCCCGTACTGATGCATATCAGGCCTTGTTTGGTCCCGCTTCATGGACCAAATACTTTGATCTCCTCCCTCTTGATTCTGCACCTCCTGATGATTTCTCCCTTCATAAGCACCTTGTTGATTCCGTAGATGCCTCTTACTTTCCACCCCACCCGTCTCGGTGCACGTGTTGTTGCTGCTCCTTCTCAGGATGCAGCCTCCAGCTTGGCCGCCTTGTCCTGCCTTGGCGAAACCCCTGTTTGAGCCTCCAAGAACGCTCGGTTGAATGCCAGTGTTGGCACTATTCTCCTCCCACTCCATGTTGCTACCGGTGTTCAGAATCTCCAGGGCTGCCACGAAGATATTCGTCATATCCTCGATGCCCAGGGCCATTCTGTCCTCCAGGTAGACTCGTTTACTCGTCCCCCTCGTGGTCGTCGCCGTCAACCCCTTCGGGTTGTGAAGATTACCTTTGATGGTAGGACCCTTCCGCCCTCTGTCATTCTTTCTGGTGCCAGGTGCTCCGTCCAGGAGTACATTCCCTCTCCTCGACTCTGTAATAAGTACTGGAGATTTGGGCATGGTGCCCTCCGCTGCTCTGGAACTGTCTCTCTCTCTGTCCTTTGTGTGGGGGCGATAGTCACTCTAAGTCGGAATGTACTTCTTCCCAGGCTCGCTGCCTCAATTGCGGTGAGGCCCACCCTACCTTCTCCTGTGCGTGTATACATTACAAGCTTGAGGCAGGCGTCCTCAACTTGAAGCACCGAGAGCATTTATCTTTTCCTGAGGTGAGGCGCCAGGTTCGCCGGCTCCCACCTTATGCTAATGTCTCTTATGCTCGCATGTTGCGCTCTTCCTCTCTTCGTCCTTCCCACCTTCCTCAGACTCAAAACTGTTTCCAGGCCTTGGACCCTGATACACCCACCGCTTCCTCCTCTGTTCCTTTGAGGTCTGTCCCCAAGGGTCACCCTCCTGGTCCTCTGTCTGGGGTGTCCCTTTCTGTCCAGTCTGTCATGTCTCCTGTGTCTTCTTCGTCATCTCCCTCCGATCCTCCTTCCCATCCTTCTCCTCCGTCTATTGGCCCTCCACGCCGCCTGTCAGTACGGGCTGATGTCCATCGCTCTCCCAACGGCCATCAGGTATGCTCTCGTTCAGCTTCTCCTGTTGGGACGCTGGAATCCCTTGCCCAGTACGTAGTTGCTGGGACACCTGTCTCTTTGAGTCAGAAGCGTAAGCCTCGCTCCTCTCCTTCCTCCTCCTAGGTGGGTAAAAAGGCTTCGCTTTCTTCCTCACCCCCTACTTCTGACACTCTCGCTCCGTCCCCTCCCGTTTTGGTGGTTACGCCCCCTGTTCGTGCTATGAAGGTCTCTTTGACTCCTGCTTTCCTCTCGCTTGGTGCCCTTGTTGAGGTGCATCCCCTGGTTTCTGCCCCTCCTGCTGCTGTCCTTGACCCTCGGCTATCCCCCCTCTTCCTCCTCCAGACCCTACTTGTCCGCCCCTGGTCAGTCCTCTAGCTACCATCCTTCCTTCTTTACTCAGTTTATCCATGCCCTCTAATCCTGACTTCGCTGACCCTGACCCTGATCCTGCCCTTCTTTAACGTACTGTGTTCCCTTTTTGCCTTTATTTCTTCGTTGTTTTCTGTTGCTGTCCTTCCTCTTCTTGTCGATGTCTATTCTTCAATGGAACGTTTGTGGTTACTACACCAATTTCCTCGAACTCCAGCTTCTGATTTCGCAGTTTTCACCCCTTTGTGTCTGTCTCCAGGAGCCAATGCTTGGTGCTCGTCCTGGTCACTTTCGTGGCTATTCCTTTCTCTCCCCCCCTCCCCAGCTGTTGCTGGGGCTCTTAAACTCTTCTGCTCTCTTGATTCGCTCTGATGTTCCCTTTGTCCCATTACTTTTTCCTTCGCCTCTCCATTGTTCTGCTGCTTGTATCTTTGTGAGGAAATGGTACACCGTTTGTTCCATTTATCTCCCCCCCGAGTGTCCCGCTTTCTTTTTCCGATCAGAAACACCTACTGGACTCCTTGCCGGAGCCTGTACTCCTGCTGGGTGATTTCAATTGCCGTCATTCCCTTTGGGGTGATGTTCTGATGAACACTCGGGGTCGCCTTCTTGAGCCGTTCATCCTCTCATCTTCCCTGTCTCTTCTGAATTCTGGCGAGTCCATGCATTTGGACTCTCGGACTCGCACCCTTTCCTGTCTTGATCTTTCTCTTTGCTCGTCTTCTCTTTACTTAGATTTCACGTGGCAGATTCTTGATGACCTCCATGGCAGTGACCGTTTCCCCATCCTTGTTACATTTTTCTCTTTTCACCCTCTCCTCTCCTTCTCTAGGTGGCAGTTTGCTAAGGCAAACTGGAACCTATTTACCCTCAGTGCTGCTCTCTCTGACCTCTCCCTTCTGCCTCTCTCTTGCTCTCTCCTCCTTTTTCATGATACCGTCTTCGACGCTGCCCTCCGCTCTATTCCTCACTCTTCCGCTCGGGGCCCACGGAAGTGCATTCCCTGGTGGAATACAGACTGTGCTCGAGCTGTCCGCTGTAAGCGTGCAGCCTGGAAAAGACACCGACGCCGGCAGACGGCCGATTCTTTTATTTTGGAAGGCGAGTGCGGTGGCCTGTAGGGCCATCCATATGGCTAAACGTGAATGTCTTATGTCTCCACCATTACGTCCGAAACTCCTCTGCCGCAGATCTGTAAGCGTATTCGCAAGATAGCGGGTAAGTTCATTCCCGATGCTTCACCGGTCCTTCACCTCCATGGTACTCTTGTGGCAGATCCGTTGCAGGCCGCTACCGAACTGGGTTCCCACTTCTCTTCTGTTAGCTCTGGTCTTCTTCTTCCCCAATCTTTTCTTCTTCCTAAACCTGTCCTTGAATCTCATCCTTTAGATTTCTGCACTCTTCTTCGACTTCCCTATAACAATCCCTTCTCTCTCTCTGAACTTCGTTCTGCCCTGACCCTCTGTAGTTCTACGGCGGCGGGCTCCGATGGCATTCATTATGAGATGCTTCGCCATCTCTCTCTGTGCACGTCTCAGTATTTACTGAGTCTATATAATCAGATCTGGGAGTCGTCGTCAGTCTCTGAGGACTGGCTCGATGCTGTTGTCCTCCCTTTTCGCAAACCAGGGTCTCTGGGAACATCCCTAAGGACTTTCGCCCTATTGCCCTCACAAGTTGTGTCTGCAAACTCTTTGAACGTATGGTTAACGTTCGTCTAATGTGGTTCCTGGAACACTATCACCTCCTCTCCCCTACTCAATTTGGTTTCCGCAAGTGCCGCAGCACAACAGATGTCCTGGTGAACTTGGAGGTCTATATTCGTACTGCTTTTGCTGCGAAGACCTCCGTTGTTGCCGTTCTTTTTGACCTGGAAAAGGCGTACATCATCACTTGGCGATATCATATTCTATTCCAGCTTCATTCTTTTGGCCTTCATGGCTATCTCCCTCTCTTTCTCTGCAGCTTCTTCTCTTGTCGTTCCTTTCGGGTGAGGCTTGGTACCTCTCTCTCTGCCTCTTTTCAGCAATACGAAGGTGTGCCCCAGGGTAGTGTTCTGAGCACTACTCTTTTTATGGTTGCCCTCAATGGTCTTCTTTCCTCTCGTCCTTCAGGTGTTTTCTCCGCTCTCTATGTCGATGATCTTACCCTTTGCTGTCAGGGTGATGATTCGTCTCTCCATCAATGCCGGCTTCAACTTGCGATTGATGCAGTGTCGTCTTGGGCCACCGATCATGGCTTTAAGTTCTCTACTACTAAGACTTGTGCCATGACTTA